ATTAACCCAATTTGTATAGTGGATCTTTTCTTTTTTGATCAATTCAAAGTTACAAAGTTCAAAATTAATAGCAATACACGCTTAAGTTTCAATTACCTACTGGTCAAAGTCCTGTGGCTTTAAAGATGGAAGCTGTAATGTTCTAAAGCCTTAGGAAGCTGAAATTAACTATGTGCCATTTTCACCAAGAGGAAACAGGCTGACATGCTACAGAGGACAGAGACTTTAAGTGATCAAAAGTATGAAAAATGGACTGATTTTAGCTTCTATATCACAATTCCATTATATACAGAAGCCTACGCCTGTGTTATTACTTATAGCTGTTCTTTTTTAAAATCAAAATACCGAGAGGAGAAAAGAAAAGGGGACAAAATGCATTATTTTGACATGATTCTTTTCCAAGTCACCATGACATGAATCTTTCCCTAACTTAATTTAATTACTGTATCTGGAGAGTTTCAACATTGGCAGACTGCAGCATCCCAGATATGTGAGGGAATTGTTTCCACAGCACAACTCCAGTATACCTTCCTTATCATAGGGCTATAGTCCACATATGTAAAGACTTTTCTTACATTACCTGTTAACTTGAGAGACGAATTAATTCTTAAATCAAAATTCGTGAAACGAGCTGTGGGTGAAGCAAGACGCTCTGATTCTCTGCAGTTGAACTGTGAAACCCTGACCTCACTTGACTTTCACAGTTGCCATCAATGTTTGTTTTCTCATTGATAAAACAGTCAGGAATGCAAGGCCAAAGCTGGAGGGAAAGTCACCGAGCTCACAGAGAGAGATCAACACAGACAAGCTTTGTCTGAATTCACAGAAAAACAAACCTGCAAACGTCCCTGTTCTTGTGTCAAAACTATGAAACCCTCATTAAATTGAGGCTTTCATAGTTTTCCACAAGGCCCCCCATGTTTAAAAGAATGTTGAGTCTGTACAGATAGGACAGCGCTCTTAATCCAGCAAAATGTGACACTGTAGAGCAAGACATGCAAAAAAAAAAAAAAGAACATCTTAAAAACTTGACTGTTTTCATTATTAGAAAGTGTGATATTAATGTGCGCACATTTGTACAATTGAATTAATTTCTATTATTTCTTATTACATTTCATACTATAAAATGTAATGGTGTGGAAGACTTTGGCGTAAAAATAAAAGATATATAAAATTTTACACCAGCTTTGATAAATGCATTTCTTCATGAAGGCAAATGAGCGCAGTCAGAGTAAAAATTAATCTTTAAAACAACCCGCATTCATTTGTTTGAGTAAGTAATGCTGCTTGGCATCCTCCAAGGCTGCAACCAAGGGAACAAATCCTATAAACCTCAAGGGTGCCAGTGGGCCAGCCCACCTAAATGGGCCTGTGCAGTGATGCATGGCTGAGTTTTGCACTCTCAATGGGCTCAAAGGGTTCAGAAATCACAGAAGTCTCCTATGCAGATGGTCTAAAAACAAGCTTTAATAATCAAATGCTTTTAAATATGCTGCTGGGTAGTTTGTCTGCGAGATTATTGTGAATTTAAAAAGGATTATGTGAGTTTTGAGCTCTGAAACCACAAAGGTTCAGTATGATGGGCAGCAGAACCTAATAAACAGAAGTTACATCTCTGTGGGGAAGGTGAAACTCAGAGCAATTAGTTGATCCTGATATTTAGTTGTGAATAGACATTTCAGAAATTAAGGCTCAGAAGACCTAAAACTTCTAATATGATGTTGGTATATCTAATGATCATCAGTTTATTTATTAATTGGGTGTTTGTTTTTTACACTTCAGTGGACTTACTCTGTTTTGTTGCGGGTTTTGTCGTCACTGAGCTGCAGCAGGTCGATGACAGCCTGTCCCAGCAGCTTGTCAGGTCCCACCAGAGCCCGGTGCAGGACGTGGACGCGCAGCGTGCTGCGCTCCTTCCCTCCTCCTCCACCCTGAAGCGGCGGCAGGTCGAAGGTGGCCTCCTCCTTCCATGTCGGAGCTACTGTTTTCTCCACCACCGAGGTCTGGTACTTCTCCTTGCCCACTTGCATAAGCGCATACGCGTCATTTGTGCCTCCTTTCCCTTTAATCCTGAGACCTCTGGCTTGGAGCACCGTTACCTGAACGCTTGTGGGACACCACTGCTGATCCGCTAAGGACATGGTGGCAACACCTGCTGCTGGATCAGCGACCTTCAGGAGGAAAACACCAAAACAAAAGGCAACGGAGACACTTCACCATCCGGATCACCGCAAACTGAAGAGGACGGAAAAGTTTTGCTGACGAGCGCAGCAGGAGTTAGGAGCCAGCTGATTGGGCGTGGTCACATCAAGGTTTGGAGAAGCCACGCCCACTCTGAGCTGACAGGTGGGTGGATCGATCTTCATTATGAATTAACCACACACCTGACACCTGTCTGCAGCCGGTATACATTCAATCTAAAATACTTTCTACTGAAGCAAAGTGATGTTTGACAACCTTTAAGCAGAGGCGTAGCCAGACATTTTTATAAGAGTGGCCAGGCAATAACCAATGTACACTGAAGGGGTGCCGAAAGCGGATAGCCACCAGAACCTCACTGTCAATCTACACTGTTCCAACAGGATTATTAACAAGCAAAACATCCATATTTTGTAAATAAAGACAAACTATACTTTCCTACAGCCTTTGCTTACAAATAGACACATATATTTGAACACCCATAATTTCTAGATAAAAGATATAGTGGATAAAACTCTTTCAGTTTTGAGTTCTGGGCCATAAATCTTTTCTATTGTCATTACTTACCTACTTGTATCAAGAAACATTCTGCATAGAATTGATATTTACAAGTACTAATATCTACATAAATTGCTTATTTGCTAAGTTCTGTATTTATCATTTTTGACTTAGTATATTAATGTGCATAATTAACCACAAAAAACTAAAATGTTTTGAATATTCCACTTGAGATTAATAATGTTGCCACCATCTGTATTAGATGGGTGACCACAGGGGTGGCCAATGATTGGCTAAGGATGGCAATGGCCACCCCTGGCCCCCCATCTAGATCCGTCCCTGCCTTCAAGCAGGGATTTTTATCATAGTTAACAGAATTGAGACCTTGTAGTAGGGTGTTTGTAACAGTGTTGCCAGAACAAGCAAGATGCATTCAATCATAGGGGAGAACAGTGGAGTCAGATGTAGGAGTTTGCCCCTGAAATCGAAGAATTGACGGTTCAATCCCCAGCTCCGACTTTCAGTGTTGTTGTGTCCTTGGGCAAGACACTTCACCTGCATTGTCTACTGATGGTGGTCAGAGGGCCCGGTGACGTCAGTGTACGGCAGCCCCGCTTCTGTCACTGAGCCCCTGGGCAGCTGTGGCTACAATGTAGCTTGCCACCATCTGTGTGTGTGTGTGAATGGATGACTGACTGAATGTAGTGTAAAGCGCTTTGGTCAAGTCTCCTGACTTGAAAAAGCGCTATATAAGTACAGGCCATTTACTATTCAGCAGAAACAATATTATTATTAACACAAATGCAGCTCTGCTGCTCTTCTCATCTGTGGGGAACAGATGAGCAACGTCATAGCAGCACGCACATTACTGAAGGGTGTGTCGCTTTAGTTACGACCAGAGACAGGTAACTATATAATGCAATGATTATGGGTTGGTGGGTTTTTTTTGTTTGTTTTTTTTGTATTCATAATACAATGGAATAATATATTGTGTTTTATATATATATATATATATATATATATATATATATATATATATATATATATATATATATATATATATATATATATATATATATATATATATATATATATATATATATATTGTATGTGTGTGTGTGTTAAATACTGTCTTTATGCACATCTCTGATGTTGCTGCTATTTTCAAATATCAATTACTGTAAAAATGTGGTTATGTAGTTCTCCAGGTGCACAGTATTTATATTGTTAAAACACTTACAGTACAGTATTTTTTTTATATATTTTAGCTCTTCACTATTATGTATTTTTATACACTCTTCTAAGATCCACATTTTTGTGAACATTTTTTCTATAATTTTTTTGCTGCTGTAACACCAAAATGTTCCCATTGTGCGACAAAAAAATTGATATTCTATTCTATTCTATTCTATTTTATCATATAATGATTGAAAGCCAATTATTAAAAAAATAAAGGTTGAGTTGTTTTTTCAAGTTGTTTTCTTTTTTTTTTTTACTTTTCTGGAATACAAAAATAAAGACATTTTCACTGCAATGTTTTGAGAAGATTAACTTGCTACTCGATGTTTCACTTTTCGAACTGAGTTACAGAAATAGGGTAAAACTGATTAAAATTTTACTGCCTATTCCAGCTACATTTTCAACTGTAAGGGAAGCAGAATTGATAGAAAAGGAACCATACTTACCCACTTGTTAAAAATAATGAATGGAGAACCTGATCTCTCAGTGAACAACATGTCAAACCTTGACATGTAAATTAATGATTTTCTTTTTCTATCTTGACATGAATTCTTTGAATTACAACATCTCTTTGCCTTAAGGGGGGGCACAGGCTCCATGGTTTTAATGAGCAGTTTCAATGGGGTTCAAACTAGTTCCTGTATCTCTAACTATTACATTGTGCCAGTTTGGTATGTCCACAACTGATTCTCTGCCTCTTTTGTATAGAGGTGGCCTTCTGAAACTCAAATGACTACATACTGTATACCCATAGTTAATTCATATAGAGTGAGATACTGTTTTATGTAAAACACTGACTCCTGCTGTAAGAGTGAGGTAAAGGACATATTTTTTTTAAAATCAGAATATTATAGACTATAAATATAACCTTAAATAGTAATTCAGCAACAAGCAAATGTGTGTTTCATCTTAGTCACCATAACATGCAAAGAGCAGCAATAATTAAAGCTGCAGACAAACAGAGCATTGAGCCAATTATCAAACTGATTACACATGCAGGAAACACTGTATATGTTATATAATGCCTGCTGTGCCTGCATCTGGGAAATTAGCAAACTACTGTGTTTTCAGAGAGTAATTTCTTTAATGAAATAGTAATTAATAGTATTATGATTAATCACCTAAGCGATAAAAAACAGATCTTCAAGACTGTATTTAGTTAACATTTTCTGACTTGCACAAGCTTACAAAAACATTTTCAAATAAAAAACATCTTATTATAAAATGCAAACTCGATTCTTTACTAATGCATTTCACACCATATGTTGCATTGTTGAACAGGACATAAGAGCCTGTAGTGATGATGGACATACAGGTCTTTATTACAACTGAAAATCATTTGTCTTTGTCGCCCTCTGGACATCCACCTTCTGTATGTTTGCACCGGTTCTGATCCTCATGTCCCCCCATAAGTATTTTGCTGTAAAGTTGCTGTTCTTCTTCTTTAAAAGCATCTTTCACTTTGGTTCGTTTCAGTCCTGCATCCCTGGAGGAGCAAATGTAAACAAAGACGAGACTGTCATACATAGAGTCAGTCTTAGTGGTAATATTTTCAGCAAACCCAGGAGAAACAATAATAAATGTGGTCTTTGATTTAGCTCCAGCATGTAATACTTAATTATGATTATGAAATCTAAAACCTCAATAAATTAGTTTGTGAACTGGGCCCTATGTTCAGCAGGATATTTAGTTTGAACTCATGAAAATCTAAAACTAAAATGAAGAAATAGTCAAAATAGTATTTCAGTACCACATTGACTCACCATATGAGGTCCACTAACCCTGCCTGGGCAGCAATGGCAGCCTTTACTCGATTGGCAAATTGCACTGCATCCTCTCCGTCCTATAAATGGGATAAAAAAAAAAAAAAAAAAGGTTTTTAAAAATATCCAACAAATTCTGGAACTGTTTCTTCCCCACCGTCATTAGACTGCTAAATGTTATGTAAATGGGTTATAAAATAAAATAAAAAGAAAAAAAATAAAATATTTTTTTTTTTTATAATTTTTTTAATTATAAAAAAAAAAAAAAAATAGTCCAGAGAGCTGTATTTAACGGAATTTCTTTTTGTTTACACTTGTGTTTACAAAATGACAAAATAAAATCTGTCTAAGTCTAAAAAAAAAACAGATAAGGCTAAAATGGCTAAATGTTTTATTATATATGTTTTAATATAACTAACTGGTCATTGTATTGATAACATAGTCCTGTGTGCTCACTTTTAGCTCCTCAAGGACATAAAACTTTGTTGTGTTTTCAATGATATTACAGAAAAAAAAACATTTACAATCCGTTTGGGTGTGTTTTTTTCTTTAGCACATTATATAAAAGCTTCCAGTGATGTAATTGGCGTTAGTGTTAGCTAAAGGGGAATTGCAAAAATGTGTGCCAGAATCTTTATTGTCATGATGAAACCATAATGAACATTTTTGTCAACATGCTTGGCTCCAGAATACACATAGAAAATACAGAGAAAATAAAAAAACACTTTGGGGAGAAACAAGCATCTTTAAAAGTCTTTAAAAAGTTGACATTCATGCATATTGTTGTAACTTTTATATTCTAAAATGTATCTGACATTTAATTTGTGGCGACATTGGGGTCGGAGGGCCTGGTAGTGCCTGTTTTCGGCAGCCTTGCTTATGTCAGTGTGCCCCTGGGCAGCTGTTGCTACAAAGTAGCTTGCCACCATTAGTGTGTGAATGACAAAATGCCGTGTAAATTACTTTGCAGTCACCGAACTTAAAAAGCGGCCATTCCCGTACAGCGCTTTTACTAAAATATTTACAGTAACATTAAAGGTTTACAGCTTGCTGTATGTTACTGATGTACATTGTTTACATTTCCCCTGCTATTGTGGAATTGTAAGAGCTTACCTTTCTCCTCATTGGTGGTAGATACCAAACGCTACAAACGATGGCCCAGCTGCTCATCATTCTGACTAGGTATCCCACTAAACCAAATTTGCTGCTGTCCCAAAAAGCATCTCCAAAGTGAGGATCATACTGAAAGAAAAAGTAAAAACCTTTCTCCTTCTGGCTGAACTACAAGCAAAATAAGTGCAGAAGAGAGTAAAAACACCGGTTCTTACCTTAATGGCAGCAGGATAGATGGTGCAGCCGATTTCAAAGCTGCCCTTCCTGAACATCATCACTGATGTGTTGTTGACACAACTGCCTGTAAATGAAATAATCTGAAGATTTGTGAGGAAAGTATTTCTCATGCCTTCTCTTTTAAAACACTTTTTAGCACTTTTTACGGGAATGTTTTGTGATTTTTCAAAACTTTCAAAACATTTTAAAGTATCACAGTAACCGCTACATTGCTGTGCATTTTAGTTAATATTTTGCACGGACACGACAAAAGTTTAAACAACATAATGAAACCACAATAAACTTTAGTAGGTAAAACCTAATTACACAAAAAGGGTGCTATGTTTTTTCTGTTGATGCAAGGCCTAGTAGATCCATGATTTTATATATTCTTAACCAACCATCTGAATGTTTCAGCTTATGTAGTGATTTGATGGCAAAGTTTACATTTTTCTAATCTGTTCATGTCCAGTTTTGGTAAGTATGCATACTCAGTTTACAGTTAGCAGACAGCTGTGAAATCTGGCATGGTCTGCTGCCAAAGCTGTCTGCGGTCTGCTGCCCATCTGCTTCAAGGTTTCCGACATGTTTTTTGTAAGGCTACTGTTGTTTTTTAGATTGTTTTTACTGTTTGAACTATTTTTTTGGGAACCTTTGCAATTTTTTGTAGTAAAATTTCCAACATATTAACAGTACCGGTTCAAAATCACTTTAATACACTTTTTTTAACAAGTATTTACAAAAAGCTTAGTATTTAGGTTACAGGTGACTGTGCTCTAAAATGAAAATAAAATGAGAAAACATTAGCTTGCTTATGGCTCTGACAGGAAGACTTTATGTCTTCTACTTGTGAACCTCATTTCTTTCACACTACATGTTTGCACAACCAAATAACCCGTAGTTTGCATAATGTTTGCTCTGAAGAAAAAACATCAGTGTAAAAGAAGATTATTTCATCATCGTGCATGAAGATTATGTGCACAATTATTATTTTATGCAGGTGGGAGGTTACTTTTATTATAAAAACACTTTATATTAAATTGTGTTGCAAAACTCTTTATTTTGCAAAGAGATTTGCAAGCCTATGTATTCTATTTCTTTTTGTGTTAATGTATCAAAAAGAAATATAAATAAAAAAATATCAAGCTATTCTGATTATAGGTCTCGCTAGCTAGGTAACAGGGTTCATTCGCACCTTCAGGGAAGATAAGGATGGGATGTTTGTTTTCATCTGCAATGTGATCCCTGAGTCTGAAACATAAGACAAGGAGAAAAAAAAACAAAGAAAAACTTCAAAAAATACATAATTAGTGAAGTGAAGGAAAAGTTGTTTTATTTCCTACAAAACACCTTTTATTGTGGGATAATTTTTAATAATGAAATCTTAGGGGATATGAAGTGACTCTAGATTCTTTAACATTACATGCTGGGTAAAAGATTGTTCTTAATAACACATCATTAAAAGATATTCCTTATTAGTAAAAGATGTGTTCAGATGTCATTCTTTTCCCTTACAGTTTTTTATCTAAAAATGAGTTGAAATGAGTTTCTGCCAAAGTTAAGGGACACTTTATACTAACCCTGCAATGTTACCTTTGGGCCACTAGGTGTCTGTCTTTGACTTCAGCTCGTTCAAACCATATATGAGGAGAGGACGTCACCATGGCTCTTTGGATCATTCCCAGTAAGCCTCCATGTAACTGACCAACCTGAAAGATAACTTCACTTTGACTTCCTCTCATCCTTTAAATGTATTTTACTCATAACATGCAGACTTTCTACATACTTAAAATTCCATACCAAAGAGTAGCAAAGGTCATTGGCCAGGATAATCCCATCTATTGGTGTTGTGTGATTTGCCACACAGATGCCATCATTCTTTGGTTTGTTTTCTCTGCAGGTAAACAGAACATAGACAGAGAAATTATCTTGATGGCTGTGCTAAGTAGAATTTGACAAGGGATCAAATAGGTTAAGACGCAAGAACAAGCGTTATGTGCAGCGTTTGCAGCTAAACTCAATAATAATAATAAGTTCAAATGAAATACATATAATCAACAATTTTGGATGAAACTCTTAAAATATGGTATGAGGTACTTAAAAAATACAAATCAGAAGGAGATAGTGAACTCTTAATGTGGCCCTCTCAGTCAAAGAGATTTAAACCAAAAGACTCGGATAGCACATTTATAGATTGGAGGAGAATGGGGATAACGGCTATCTGCACACTAGTAGAAGGAAAAACATTTAAAACATTCAATAAAATCAGAAGAGAATTTTAACTGAATAACAGAGATTTTTTTCAGATACCTACAGCTAAGACACTTATATACCAATGAGGTTGAGAAAGAATTATCACTGGAAGGAAATGAGTTGATTCAGCTCTTTGTAGAACCAAACCCCAAAAAAAGTTGTATCTAAACTATATAAAAGCTTACAAAAACGAAATGGAAATAACTCGTTATATATAAAGTCCAAATGGGAAGCAGAGTTCAAAGTGAAACTGTCAAAGAGTGACTGGCTTTCAATGTGCAAAACACGACAGTCCTCCACAAGTTCTAGAGGTTGGAGGGAATTTGGATGGAACAATTTAATACGCTACTTCATAACACCTCAATTACGAAATAAATTATTCCATACTCAACAACAATGTTGGAGGCAATGTGGACAGATGAATGCCAGTCACTCTCATATTTTTTGCAATGTACAAAAATACAAACCTACAGTACTGGGATCAAGTTGTTAAGGCTACAGAAGAAATAATAGGATACAAGATACCCAAGGACCCACGAATAATGTATTTGGGCTGGCTGGAGAGTGAAGGGATACACAGGAAAGGCATCTATCTTCTCAAAATCTTGATAGTGGCAGCTAAAAAGGCCATTACCAGAAAATGGTTTAAAAGTGACCCTCCACATCTGACGCAATGGATTTTAATAGTAGAGGAAATCTTCACAATGGAGGAAATGACCTACCACATAAGGATCAAGTACAAATACCTGAAACAACAGTGGAGGAAATGGTTTGATTGCACAAATCGGAAAGGACTTACCTTCAATAAGACTGGAACGACAGATAAACCTTTTTAAGACTTGTGTGACCCCCACATTCACTAAACTCAGACTCTGTTATACCTTTGCTGTATTTTTATCGTCCTTCGCTGTTCATATTCTTCTTTTGTTTGTTTTAATGCAAAACTGAAAAATACTAAATAAAAAAAAAAATACATATAATCATTTTCCACTTTTTGAAATAAAAAAGGATCCAACCTTTCATGTCTTAAATTAAGATTATCAGAACTGTTTCTTTTTTTCTAAATGCTGAAAGGATGGGATATTATTCTTTTTAAAGATTATTTTTTTTTATATTTTCTAATTCAACATTTTAAAATACAATTTCTTACATTATAGTTTTGCTGTAATTTTGCCCATATTTACTTGACAGAAGTAATGTGACCAAATCAGGTTTGTAAGCCACATTGTTTATCCATGATGGGTCTGACAACAACATTTGATGATGTTGACACCTCAATTTTCTGGTCTTTGGCAGATTTTTAAAATGTATTAGAAATCATTTTCAATCTAATTTCATGAGATGCTGCTTTAGCAATTTTTAAGTATGTAAAATGGATTTGTACAGGGTACCAGCAGCACAAATCCACCCCTATTCTGTAAAGTTTGCAGAATGTTATACTTTTCACAAACTTGTACTGTATTTTCTTTCATCTGAATCAGGGTTAACCAGCCTTTTAAGGCCTTAGAGCTACTTCATGGGTGCTGAGCCATAGAAAGGGCTAGTATGAATAGAGGAACCAGAGTTCATCTAAACTTCATAGTAAGCAGCATGATAAACATAATTTCATTATTACTTTTACTTCCTAAATGTCTTTTAGATGTTTTCATTTTGAAACCTCTATAAAAGAAAGTGTGATTAAAAAAAGAAGGGCAACAGAATAGATAAAAATTCAGACTTAGCCCACTGGTGATTTGTGAGGTTATCAAGGAGATGCTGAGGGCGCCCCATGTGGTCCCTGAGGGCCAGTTGGTGTCCGCAGGCACCATGTTGGTGACTCCTGCTCTAAATTAAACAATGCTTATTGTGATCAAACATTTCAATTGTAGTTTAATCAGACAAAAGAAAACGAAACAAGAATTAAGATATTTTTCCCTGAATGTATTTACAGACCTTTAATGTTGCTTTTCATGATGCTTTTGTACTAACTGTTTCCATTCTGAGAGCCTCATAAGTTCTTTTCAGATAACGACGCACTCTAAAAAAATGGCACTGTGGTAGGTAATTGTTACCCTGTGTAGATTAGAGAAAAATTTAAATAAGCTAAAACATCTAAACACAGTATAGGTATGAAAAGTCAACCAGAATGAATTTGCACTCAGGCCTATGTTGAGCATTGATGCCCCTGTTACTAAAAATGAAATGTTTCTATTTCCAACTCTATATAGCATTAATGCTTTGCAGAATGATGTGATGGGGAATGATATCCCATCTCATACCTGTTGTGATAGGTGATGATTCCAGTCAGAGATCCAACACATAGACGATAACCCATCCAATGCACCTTATCACTGAGGTAGCTTCTTAACCTGGTATCATACAGGAATGAAGGCACAACCTTTGCTAAGATCTTATTTGCAAGTTGAAACGTAAGCAGGACCGATGGAGACTCACTTTGTTTTGGGTAGGAATCCTACCATGGTGCTTAAAACAATGAACAGAGAAATCCCTGTCACTGCTAGAGTTACCCTGAAAAAAAGTACATTCAAACAAATGGATTATGTAAGACATAACCTCGCTCCGCAAAAAATGAATAAAAAATCATTACTGCTCTGACCTGAAAGGCAGTAGAACACAATAGCGGATTAAAACTCCAAGAACCCACAAGGCTAAGAGTTTTAGACTTAGGTAACGGAAGTTGCGGTTGCTCCTTTTTAGCAAGTTCCAGCTTTCCAGCTCCTGGGCTGAGAAGCACTTGGTCACGTCATCGTCCACAATGCTCTCCAAGGCTTTTCGACAGAAGAAGAAGACATCAGAGAGGTCAAACCTTGGCTCCAAACTCAGAAGAGTACTTTGCTGAAGGTCCTCAAATTCCTGTTGCAGAGTTGAACCTGGTGTTTTGGCTATAATGCCTTTGGGTAGAGAAATACATTTTATATTTTATGATGAAAAATACATAAAATACATGATTTACTTGTAATTTGTACTGCCAAAAAACACTGAAATGTCAATATCTCACCCCTGGTATAGTGTTTGTAGAGTTGCTGATTCTTCTCTTTAGCACTCAGCTCCATTTGTAAGGTTGCCCACTAAAAGTCAATAAAACAGATCGCTGTCAGGCTTTGCTAAACAACCTATATAGGTCATCAGAATAGAATCAGAGTCAGAGACTGAAGGAGAGAATGTGCAGCAGAGAGCAACTGTATAAAAAACAACCCACCCCCCATGAAATTAGACAACATATGTCTGGAGCACAGCTATGTTCACAGGAGGAGAGCATGTGCTCTGCAGATTATTACGGGCCAATTTTAGCTCCAAACGTTCACTATCCAGCTTAAACATTGGAAAAGTAGGTCATAAACTTAGAAGAGGAGGGTTCAGCATCAGATAAGAAGGGAGATATTTACAGAGCCACGCTGGAGTTGTGCTAAGAAACAGGAACATTTATTATCTGACTGTAGATACCTGAGATTATAGAAGGTGCAACATTCCAATCCATCAACCACTAATAGATTACAAAAGAATCAAGCCTTACTGTTATCTTCTGTCTTTTGCTGATCTGTGAATTTATGTGTTGAATTTGACCTAAGCTACACAGCAATTAGCTATTTTATATTATATGTTGTGAATGTTTGAACATTTACTGTATCAACATTGATTATTAAATGGATGGAAACTTTTTGATCTCTTTTCTCTTGTTTTATGCATAACTTGAAATAGTCATGCCAGATGTTTTCTTAATGGCTGATGTGAGGTTAAGTAGATACATTTAGACGTAGATCATTGTGTGACTCCATGTTTAATTGGGACTTTGTATGGGCTACAGGTCCAGATTATGTCCAAAGAAATTAATCCAGTTTTAACCTAATTAAATGTGTTTCTTGTGATATGAGCCCACTATAATAAGAAACTGTTCCCAACTGCTGTCTAAAGCACTTTGACCTCTATGCCCACTTAAACAGTGTTTGGTTCCTGTCTCTTCTGGTAGATTTTCAGCCTTAATTCAAGGTTAGAGGAAATTAGCTGAAACAGTTTCCCAATAATAACTTTAAATCTTCTAAGTAGCTGGCAGTGAAGACTCTTTAAGTTTTCCAAAAGTAACATTTTATTACACATTTGTTCACTTTTGCACTCGGTAAAATATTCCAGGTCACACTATGTTGGGTATGGGTATATGCAGATAAACCGCTGGATAAAAAGCCTGATCAAGAAGGCTTGAGATATCTGGTGGTCTGAGATATCTAAACCAACTCTAATGGGTCCTGAGGCTGTGAGCTTTCTCTGCCTGAGGAAGCTGTTCCAAAGAAAAAAAAACAAAAATCCTTTAATCTTGATATAATGCATCATATTTACCTCCTATCTTAATTAAGGATTTATGTTTCACAACCAGTTAATTTATAAAAACTGTCTTTTTCAGCTGAACAATTTAGGAGCTAAATATTATTAGATAAAACAAATTATCTTAAAAGATGAAACAATTATAATTTATTTTTACTTTGCTATATATAGATAATCTTTATAAAATACTCTCCGGACAAACCACAGTATTAGCTCTAACTCCTAACTCATCAGTGTGGTATGTGTCTCACTGAGATGGTTTTATATTCACAGCTGGGAAAAGGCTGATACCAGTGAGCTTCAGAATAATATTAGCTATGATCAGAATAATATTGGCTGAATGCATTCCAAGATCAGATCGAAATGTGTCATGCAATATTCTGAAGGAGTGGAAATGCACCATGTGGATGTGTGGTGCACATGTGCACTGATCAGATTGTTAGTCGGCATAAACCATCATTCTCAGTCAGATCACTTCTTCTCATTTGATCAGAATATTCAAACTGGCATGTTTACAACATATTATAGTCCAGCTGGCTAATTATCACTTATGTGCATGTAGCCATAGCTATTGTTGATTGCCCCTCTTAGGTTAGGTCCACCTGACTGCAGTCAGTGTTTTAGTTGACTGTAATGAATTAGTTTTTTTCTGTGGGTAGAATGCTGGTTTGTTAGATCTCTAAGCTGCTTCTTCAGACAGAGTTTATCCTGACCTGATATTCCAAATCACTATATCATTCTTCAGTTTATGAACCAACATTCAAACCGGAGAGACTCTGAGAATACTTTGAATTGTCTATGTTGTATGCACTGAAGTTGTGGTAACTTTTGGCTTTATTTATAAAGCTTCATTTCCACTCTAGACATTGAAATCTGAATGTTTCTTAAGGGCTACAAGTCTGAACCCAACAGAAGAGGCATAACTGGTTAAATTTATAATGTATGATCATTTCTCACTCTAATAATATATCATAAATCCATCAAACTCACCTTAAATATGCTCAGAAGTGTCCTCGTGTAATATTGATGGATACCAAAAGAGACTCCAAGTATATGAGGCAAAAATAAAAAGCCAAATAGAACAGTCAACCACACATTGATATGTAGGCCAAGATATCTGAAGAGCAGGTCAACAGGCAGCATGAACCAAGCCATGTGTTTCACTGCAGAAGAAGAAAAGGGGTATGAGGTGGTGGCCTTCAGCTTTAACAAAAGCTGCTTGCTCTGTTTAACGCTCATACTGTAGAGGCGGCTGAGCCATACAGCAAGAGTTAAACATGTGGATCTGGCTAAAGGAAGAACAAAATGATCACCCAGAAAAAACATAAAACAGTTAACTAAGGTATGCAAAGTCATTGTAAAATGAGTAATCGATTAAATCATCTCTGAAAGTTTTAAACTTATAACTTATAAGCCTTTTTAAAATGAGGTTTAGGCTCACAGCAAAAAAACAAAAAACAAAAAAACCCCATTAAAGTCTCATTATATTTTCCGCCATTTTAGTATAATTTTGCTTCTTTATATTAGATCCATGCATAGCGAAACTATTCTTAAAAATACAGAGTTTTGATTCAGACCCCCCCACCCCCCTCTCTAATTTACATTTATTCATTCATTGCACTGTTTTTGCACAATGTCACTATCACTTTATATATATATATATATATATATATATATATATATATATATATATATATATATATATATATAGAGAGAGAGAGAGAGAGAGAGAGAGAGAGAGAGAGAGTTATGTATATATTTATTTCAATCTGAAAAACTCACACAGAGAGAAAAGATAATTAGAAGAATTTATTGATAGAAAGTATAGTCTTTGGCGCTCAGACCTCGGCAGGAACATTCATGCTGAATTATGCTTTAACATGCATGAGCAGATAAATGAGAATAGGGATGTTCCCCCGGCCTGAAACTGGTGGTGGTTTAATCGGAGCTGGTTGACAAGGTGATCTGCTGAGCAGAATGTGGGACTAGAAGACTGAGGGAGCTGACGCCAGGCTTCACTCGGAGACTCGGGAACTGTCCATGATGAGCAAGCATGAAGCGACAGTGGAGAGGAAAAATTCCCCCTTGGGAAGAAACCTCTGGCAGAACCGGGCTCAACATGGTGGTCTTCTGCCGGACCAATGTGGTGAGACAGGGGATGGTGACAACTGGGATTAATACTCTCTGATGAGGTTGATGTGAAGTCGAGTCATGGAGGACGATTCAGCTGCGATGGCGGAGAAGGGGATGGAGGTGGGTGAATTGTCGTCTGAATCGAAGTCCGACATTGCGATTGCAGGATAGCGGCTGGGATGAAGATTTGGAGCGTTTATAAAGTGAGAGCAGGACGCTGATTGGGCTTGTGGTGGAGTAGTTCGAAGCTGAATGGCTCGCTTCGGAGACGGATTAGCTTCTGATTGGATGGAGGTAAGTCAGAGTTTCTTCAATTGAACTTCCGCTAGATCTTCATTTCAATCTGAAAAACTCACACAGAGAGAAAAGATAATTAGAAGAATTTATTGATAGAAAGTATAGTCTTTGGCGCTCAGACCTCGGCAGGAACATTCATGCTGAATTATGCTTTAACATGCATGAGCAGATAAATGAGAATAGGGATGTTCCCCCCAAAAAAGCCGAGGTAGAGGCCGGAAAGTCCGTATGCTCGTGAGGCATACGCTAAGGACAGAATAAAAGTGTGCGTAGTGAAATGCTGAGAAGATTTGAGAACAACTTACCGAGCCAGGTTGTTGAAGAGAATGGTGACCAAGGTTGACGCTGAAAACTTACAACTGAAGATGATGATGATGATGATGACGAAGAATACATACCCACGATGACGATGATGAAACCATGGTGATGACGATGAATACTTACCCACGATGACTATGATGAAACCATTATGATGACGAACCTCCATGATGCTGATGCTGATGATGATGCTGATTCCCCCATGATGATGATGCTGATGATGATGATGCTGATTCCCCCATGATGATGATGCTGATGATGATGATGCTGATTCCCCCATGATGATGATGATGATGCTGCTGATGACCCCCGATGATAATGATGATGATGATGGTCCCATGGTGATGATGCTGGTAATCCCATGATGATGGTGATGAACCCATGATGATGATGATGATGATCCCGTGATGATGATGATGATCCCGTGATGATGATGATGATCCCGTGATGATGATGATGATCCCGTGATGACGATGATGATCCCGTGATGATGATGATGATCCCGTGATGATGAAGATGATGATGATGATTCCCCCATGATGATGATGCTGATGCTGATGATGCTGCTGATGATGACGATCCCCCGATGATGATGACGATGAACCCATGATGATGATGGTGCTGAAGGTCCAATGGTGATGATGCTGGTGATCCCATGATGATGGTGATGATGATGACGATGATGATCCCATGATGATGATGAACCCCATGACGATGGTGACGATTGTGATGATGACGGCGACGATGATGACGACGACGGTGATGATGACGACGGCGACGAATCTTGCGGATGAGTCTGATAATGGATCTTGCGGATGAGTCTGATAATGAATCTTGCGGATGAGTCTGATAATGAATCTTGCGGATGAGTCTGATAATGAATCTTGCGGATGAGTCTGATAATGAATCTGGCGGATGAGCTGAATGATCTTGCGGATGACATAAAACATATATCTTGCGGATGATGACATGTATGAACAAAAGACATGACGAAATACAGACGCATGACGAGACGCAGACATGGTGCATATTGGTGCATTAGAAAATGCATCAAAATGGCGTAAAAAGCATGACGAGACGTAGACCAGACACGACGAGACACACAAGGGAAGGCATGTTGCTGCCTGGCATAAGGTGAGATGATGATGAATCTTGCGGATGAGTTTGATAATGATCTTGCGGATGATTCTTGCGGATGACATAGAACATATATCTTGCGGATGATTCTTGCGGATGACATAGAACATATATCTTGCGGATGATTCTTGCGGATGACATAGAACATATATCTTGCGGATGATTCTTGCGGATGACATAGAACATATATCTTGCGGATGATGACATATATGAACAAAAGACATGACGAAATACAGACGCATGACGAGACGCAGACATGGTGCATATTGGTGCATTAGGGAATGCATCAAAATGGCGTAAAGAGCATGACGAGACGTAGACCAGACACGACGAGACACACAAGGGAAGGCATGATGCTGCCTGACATAAAGGTGAGATTGCACGTATAAGCCAGAATTAAGACAGCATAAGTATAGCAGGGAGACAGCATGAAGGCTGCACAAAGCAAGAATGTTGATAACTGATGAGTAGGAGGAGGAGACGACGAGCTAGAGGATGGGCATGGTTAGGTCAGGTAATGATGAGAAAGAGTTCGAACCACCACCAGTATTTGTGTTAGAGTTACCTAGAGGCAGAGAGAGTGCTGCGCTGCGAGAATTGATGAGATCTGGGCGGAAGATGAGGTATAGGCTAAGACCATCGGCCCAGTACTGAGGGAAGCCTCAGAAACCCCGTGAGTAGCTGACTACGTAGCTGCTCCAATCGGGACGGATGCCCAGGATACACCCTGAGGGAAGCCGCATGAATCTGAAGTATCCTGAGGTGATGAAGAACCATCGAGTGACGTGGGGTAACCCTCGGGTGTAATGAAGAGCTAGAATGCCTGAACGTGATGCGCTAGATGATGAAATGTTAGAACTGCTGCCGGATGATGCTCTGTGAGGGCATAAGAAACGGGAGAAGCGACCTAATAAAGTTTTACTACTGCAAATATCGTGGTGGGCGGATATGCGATCTTCCCAACGGCCCCTCGACGCAGGCTATGGAACGGGGTAGCCTCCAGGGCAGATGATGGGTGTAGAATAAAGGCCGTGGACCACGAAACACCTAACCTGAAGACCCCCCAAAACCTAAGGATGAACCAGCACCCGTAAATTGGAGCATGCAGGAGATTGATAATATCGTCTTATATTTGTTATTATTTATTATTTTTTTATTTTTAAATATTTTTAATTATCTAATTATTTTATGTATTATTTTTATTATTTTTATATTATTATTATTATGATATTATTGATTATTATTATTATTATTATTATTATTATTATAATTATTAGAAGACAGATGATGAGGAGAAAGACGATAATCAGAAAATAATAAGGGGTAGTAAGATGACGGGCTGATCAATGATTAAAGCTGAGACGTCACCTGCTGGGGGGGGGGGGGGGGGGGGGGGGGGGGGGGGGGGGGGGGGGGGGGGGGGGGGGGGGGGGGTCCGTCTCAGCAGGCAGCGGCAGGTGTGACGTGGCAGTGCGGGGATTTTCCAGGTTCGGAGCGTGCGGACAGCGTCGAAACGGATTGAGTTAGAGAGTCCAGAGGAGTGGAGGGAGGCCGGGAGCTGCCAAACAGCTGAAGGACCGGACGTGGGTGCCGCCACAAATCGGGAAGCTGAAGAAGGTCCAAAGCCCGCATCGATACGATGAGAGGAGCGGGCGCATCTGGAGCCCTCTGCGCTGGCGGGGGGAGCGGAGGACTTGCATGTCTTTGCGGCCAGGTATCGGAGCAGATTGAAGAGCGGAGGGCGAGGGAGATGAACCACGAGGAGGCAGGAGGGAGGCCAGCCGAGACAGCCGAGCAGAGTCCATGCCGGAGCCCGGCAACACGCCCTCGGAGCGCAATGCGGAAGAAGGAGATGCGAGAGCAGCCAAACGGGAGCCTCTGTGAGCAGGGAGAATTGAATTGTCGTCTGAATCGAAGTCCGACATTGCGATTGCAGGATAGCGGCTGGGATGAAGATTTGGAGCGTTTATAAAGTGAGAGCAGGACGCTGATTGGGCTTGTGGTGGAGTAGTTCGAAGCTGAATGGCTCGCTTCGGAGACGGATTAGCTTCTGATTGGATGGAGGTAAGTCAGAGTTTCTTCAATTGAACTTCCGCTAGAGCTTCATATTATGTGTGGTTTGTTATATATATATATAAACCTGTTTTCTCACCCCTCGTGGGGTGGTATGTGTCATCCTCAAGCTCGGGTCCTCTACCAGAGGCCTGGGAGTTTGAGGGTTCTGCGCAGTATCTTAGCTGTTCCTAGGACTGCGCTCTTCTGGACAGAGACCTCTGATGTTTTACCTGGAATCTGCTGTAGCCACTCTCCCAGTTTGGGGGTCACAGCCCCCAGTGCTCTAATTACCACTGGTACCACTGCTGCTCTTACTTTCCACATCTTTTCTAGCTCCTCCTTCAGTCCTTGGTATTTCTCAAGCTTCTCGTGTTCTTTCTTCTTGATGTTGCTGTCGCTTGGGATTGCCACATCTATCACTACTGCCTTCTTCTGCTGTTTGTCGATCAACACGATGTCTGGTTGGTTAGCCATCACCTGTTTGTCAGTCTGGATCTTGAAGTCCCATAGGATCTTAGCTCGGTCATTCTCAACTACCTTAGGAGGTGTCTTCCATTTTGACCTTGGGACTTCCAGCCCATACTCATGGCAGATGTTCCTGTACACTATGACAGCTACCTGGTTGTGGCGTTCCATGTATGCACTTCCTGCCTGCATTTTACACCCCGCTGTTATGTGCTGTATTGTTTCAGAGGCATCTTTGCACAGTCTGCATCGGGGGTCGTGCCTGGTGTGGTAGACCCTGGCCTCTATTGATCTTGTACTGAGTGCCTGTTCTTGTGCTGCCATGATTAGTGCCTCTGTGCTGTCCTTCAGTCCAGCCTTTTCCAGCCACTGGTAGGATTTTTTGATATCAGCCACTTCTTCTATTTGTCTGTGGTATACGCCGTGCAGCGGCTTGTGCCTCCATGATGGTTCTCCTTCCTGGAAGCAACTGGATAGCTCGGTAGGTAGCACCGACGACTCCGGCACAGGTGACCGGGGTTCGATTCCCAGCATGGACATCATCCAGGTGGACCCTTAGGCAAGGTCCTTTGTGCTTAGTGGCCTACCTCAGGCATGAGTGATACCGCAAATACAAGAGCCATACCGGCTCGGACGTCGCCCGGGTTAACAAGGTCCGCGTCAGTTGCTAGGGAACCAGGGCAACTTGATGACAAATTGGCTACTGGAACAAGACATAGATGGACTAGAGCAGAAAACTTGGTACTGATATATATATAAATGTTTGTATATCTGGAGCGTGTAACAAAACTAATTTGCCTCTGGGATTATTAAAGGATGTCTGATTCTGAGTTAGAATGTTACTGCCTTTAATATGATGTGAAAAAAGCTAAAGACAATCTGCAAGCACAGCTCTTTATATATTACTTATTAAACAAATTGTAATGGCTGCACTGATTTTTCTCAGATGTAATTTAAAGAGCTGGAGGTTGGAGACCTACAACTGGATTAAAGATGTTTAATCAATGAACAGGCATCACTCTTTAAACTACATCTCACTAACTTAATTTCTAAATTCTATATCAAAACTGTTGATTGGGGCCCTTTCCAAATATACCAGCTCTAACAAATCAAGTCCTACACATGGTTAATGCTGGTCTACAGTGCCTTTTAAAACTACCCTTACCCCTTAAAGCATTTCAGTGTAAAAAACAACAACAACCTGTTATCCATTAACAGTACCCTTCACTGAAATATGATTCAAAATGATCAAAAATGCCTTTCAATGGTTTATTTCATAAATGTTTTTATGCAGGAGCAACATATTGATTTCATTAAATTCAGTATGGTTGTCTCTAACCCTCACATCTCTAATCCCATCAGTGATTTATAGATGTCTGTTCTTAACCACTTAGCCTTAATATTGATCCACAGATTAACAGCCAATGGAAAACATAGTAACCTACACAACTGTCCTTTGTTGGCCTTCAGACGTAAAGCTGTACCTGTGAGGATGTCATGGGATCATTTCGAGCTCCATCCATCTATGAGAAAAGTCCTCTTTAATGCAGAAAGACTCTGCAGCTCTGTGCTGTTTGCTTTTCAGGCAACAAGCAACAAGTCACAGCGGAAGCAATCGGCAACACATGGCCAATGAGAGCTGCAGTCACTCCGCTGAGGGCTGGGAATAAACCTTCAATCTGATTATGGTGGATTAACCGTTCACTGCACCAAGGTTGTTTGTTAGTTAGAACACTGAGGAAATTAGTTTCATTTTTGATTTTGTCTTTTGTTGCTATAAAGAAGTGTACAAATTAATATTAGGCTTTTTTTCAGACTCAATTTTTACAGGATTAGGATATTTTTTTAAAAAAAAGTTCTGAAAAGTTTAGCTGAAACTTGCAGTACACAACTTATAATATTTTCCAATTGAAGCAAAAAAAAAAAAAGTAATTAAAATGTAATTAATTCCCACAGAGTTTATTTAGTAAATAAATCCTTTACTCTGAGGCAATTATTCTTTCACAGTACTCATATTCTTAATCATCATCTGCCCCTTTCTACATGAATGGGTGGGCCGTGGAGGCAATGGTCTCACAGAGACACCAAGGCTCTCCAGAAACCTCCTTCAACGTCTCTGGGGGATCTGAAAAAATGTCTGAGCCAAATCAACAGATTCCCCTCGATGTGGAGAAGAAGCGACTGATTTTATTACTTTTAATTATCTCAAAATTAGGACTTTCCAAAAACTTTATATCAAAATCAGAATTGCATATTTTATTGATTCTGATAAAATTGTAAAGTCAAAATTCTGACTTTATAAGTTATAAGATTAAAGTCTCAAAATTCATCTTAAAAAGTTAAAATTTTGTTGAATTTTTTTTCCAGTCAACTTAAAGCCACAGTGTGTAATAATTACAGGGATATACAGTCAGAAATGTAATATATTATACATAACTATGTTATTTATCATCATCTATGAGCTCAGCCTCTTAACCTTAATATTTGCGTTGCCTTAGAATTCTTTATTTATAATTACATAGGAGCGGGTCTTGCAGCCATGGAGGCAGACATCTTTGCGCTACGGCAGCGCAGAGCCAACAAACTAGCGATTGCGAGATTGCCCATTACGCTTGAAAGTAACTACGGCAAGTTGAGAGAGATGAACTGAGACGGTACTGAACAATAGATGGCAGTATTAAAATTACCTATGTAAACAAACCTCATCACTTGAGAAGGTACAGTAGGTGATGCGGACGTCGTGGAAGACATTTTGTCCACTCGCCGTACTGTTGGGGGGGACAAGCAGTGGGGGGGAGATGTTCATGTTGCTGCGGTCTGCAGTCTGGACGTTAGATGTCGCTGAAAATTGCACACTGAAGCTTTAATCATTTTGTGTATGTTTACCTTTTAATATCAAAGACAAAAAAACATGAATATTGTTCCATAAAAAAAACACACATTTTCCAATTGAAAGAGATATCTTTATTTTTCATCATCTGCTACAAATTTCAGTAGTTTTCTATCATGCATAGTTTCACACATTTAAGACAAAAAAAATCACAAAATTGGATTTCCTTTTTTCAAATATAATTGAACTTTAAAGCATGCATATTTTCATGTGTCCAGTCTAGGACAGTCAAAGCTGTCCCGCTGTAATGATTAACGTTCTTTGGCTTTTTCGCATAAAGAAGCTCGCCTTGCTTCTTTACACTTACTGAAACAAAGAAATGACACAGGATTTAGAGATTGGAATGTCTTCAGCAAAGTAACATATACGGTTTAGCTCACTTTGAGGTATTTATTGCTTAAAATTGGTTCACCTTAAAAATAAGAAACCATACAAGCCCCCCAAAATAATAAACTTCTATCACATCTAAATCTATCTGATATAAACTAATCTGTTAACTGAATCTCTCAAACACAGATCAGTAAAACTGTTCTGAACGCAGCGTTATTATTCATGCAGGTAATGATCATAATTAATAAAACATTGACTTAATCAAAACTCTTTTAGTAATGATATTTTTGTTACTGGATGTTTGCAGCTACATGAATGTCTTATGCACACTGGAAATTGCACATGTATGTCACAGAAAAGCCAGTGCTACATTATACAGGTTTACTGAACAAATATGGGTTTGTCTTAGCAGATATATGTACATTAAACATCAACAGTGTATGATGGAGAAAGAAACAAGATTCACAGAATTCAAACAGAGATGTGACTAGATGATATGGGATGTTTCTATATTGCTTGTCGTGTTTGCGTTAAATATAATCACTGCAGTCAAACATTTGAAGGATTGTGAGTTGCTTCATGTTGCTGTGTTAAATATTATTAAGTTAATCTGCTACAGTCAGTATTAACAGAGGCTCCTGGTGTTTGAGGAGACTACCTCAGACATCATATGTGCCCTTGGCCTAATGGGTCAGTAAACACATAGAAATGTTCTAGTATTTAAAGGAAAACATGTTTGAAAAATGTACTCTGCAAAAGTCACGAGTGCAGCCATTGGTTTTGTTTATGCTTGAAGGAACAGCAGCAGCGTGTTATTAACAGTGATGCTCCCGGCTGTAAGCGTCAGCCGTTCTGCTTCGGCGAGGCAGTTTTGGGACAAGGTTGATATGTTTTTGCCATCTTCACAGTTCAGGAAAGTTTGAAGCCTGTCGTTTTTCTTCAACAGACTTTCTCCGTGCTTCTCCAGCTGAGTATCCAATCAAGGCTTTCTGCCAGGAACTCATCGGGACATCATTCGAACAAATTCTGGAACGTTTATGAAAAAGAAAGATTATTAAGCTATGTGCTCTGCTTTAGTTTTGTTCTAAATAAATTCTACCAAATATTTTCAGCATTTCATAACTTTATTGTTTTTTTTAATTGCAAACATTTATCATTTCTACTGAAATTAATGTGCTATGTTCTTGTCCATTTTTACTATTTAGGTAATCTATTTTATGTTTTTGATTTTAAAACTTAGGAATTAACAACTATCAACCCCCCCCTAAAAACTATTATAACTAGACAGCTATTGTTGAGGATAAAAACAAAAAAAAAAGATTAAAATCCAATGAGATGAAAGCATAATATGCATCTTTCACTTTATGTTGAATTATTGGGCCTAGGTAGAAGATGGATATTTGCAGCAGTATTAGTAGTAGTGTTGGTGTTAGTATTAGTATTATATTAGTACTACAAAATTAAATAAAAAATAATTAGAAATGTATGTATATTACAAATTTGTGACAACATTTATTATGGTCAATGATGACATCCACCATTAGAAACCAGCCGTGACAGAAACAAGAGCTTGCAGAAGGTTCCCAGGTCCACACTGAATGCTTAATCTTAATGCTTAAAACTATATTAGCTTTGTACAGGTAATAAAAAGGGTTTGTTGCACATTTCCAACAATGGGCATAAAGGGGTTAAAGAGTTTTTCAGTTCAATGGTTTCATAGTTGATACAAACCCACCACAACTGACTTTTGGTTAAAATGTTGCAGCTGGATGAAGGTATAAATCAGCCTCATATTATAATTTTTTTGGACAGTTTGACATGCAGCACCATGGTCGTAGTGCAGCACCATGGTCATGGACAATATTCAAAACTCCTTGCAATTACGGACTCTTATTCCGCTACAGCATTTTAAATCACTATTGAAAACTGCTTGCACAGAGAATTGTAACTGTTATTCTAGAGTTTAGTTTATGATTGATTTTATTATGTTGTCCTGTGTTTTTATAGTCTTACTGTACTGCTGCCTCTTGGCCAGGTCTCCCACGAAAAGAGATTTTATCTCAAGGGACTTCCTGGTAAAATAAAGGTTAAATAAAATAAAAATAAAATGTCCTTTTGTAATAGAGCTCATGGAGAAAAACAAAAATTACTCAAGCTCCTCTCAAACATCTGGCAGGGTTTTCTCTTTTTTTTATGCTCTTTTTGCATCAGATATCTTTGAAGCTCTTCTAACGAGGTAGGGTGCTCCAGTGATTGTGATCTTACATTCAAAGAGTCAGAAACTGTGCTTTCAAATTTAAATTTACGCAGTTTGCAGCACAATGATTTACCCCATACAGCAGATTAGCTGAGAAAAAGTAACACTTTGTTACACTGTTTTTCAACATCACACTATGTATTCATCTTTTTCTCTGCAGGTCATCTTCAAGATGTAGTCAGATGTTGCCTCAGAGATAAACTGACAGATATTTCTTCATACATCAGCATGCTATGTGATATTACTGACACTATTTTGTTTTTGTGTGTCTATAGAAGCTTTCTGGGAACTAAAAGAAAAAAAGGAACGGTGTTTTAACATGTTAATAGAAATGCATATGAGCTCTACCTTCGAAGTCTACGTGTCCATCTCCGTTAAGATCAATGTCCCGCAGAATTTCCTCCAGATCTCTGTGTCCGACCTGGGAAAGTTGAGACGAAAGTGTGAGCTTCTGTGGCATTTACTCAGACTAGATTACACGTGAAAAGAGACGGAGAGAAATCAGTCGGACACTGATTGATGGAGGCTCACAGAGAGGAGGGCAGTCTCTCTGTGAGCAGCTCTGTACCTGCTGTCCTAAGAGTTTTTTCATTGCTTCTCTGAGTTCAGCTGTGCTGATCTGGCCGTCGCCGTTTGTGTCAAACTGAAAATAAGGAAAAAACAATATTAAGATAAGCAGCTGCCTTAAGTCTTGGCCTTCTAAGCTTTTTGTTTGTTGGTTTTTTGCAGCCTTTCATCTCTACAGACTTAAAAAAAAAAGGATGACTTAAAAATAAGTGCACTTAATTTGTCTCTAGCCCATTTCTCCTCGTGCACGCTCTGTTTTTTTTAAAACAAGATTACTTTCCAAAAGAAGATTTGAAATTTTTCCACTATGTCAGACTCAACATCAGTAAGTGAAAATTGAGACAAGCACGTAGGAAGGCCTTACATAAACATATCTCCAGAATAATTAACAATTAGAAGGACCACTTATTTAGATGATCTAACCGCAAAAAAAACATCCTCCACTATACCTTTAATCTACTCGGCTTGTATGTTTCAAGGAGTCCAAATAAGGCTTTTCAACAAAAGAGTGACATCCCAGCTGTCAAGCATGGCATTGGATAAATCACGCTAATTTGTTTGCTATAAATCGAGGAACTAATAGAGAGCAGGGAATCTCACAGTTACAATGTGACTGATGTTTGCAGCAACAAAACAAGTTTTATTTAATGAGATGATAACTATGTTTTTTCCATGTATGTGTATTCAGTATGTGGTGGTGCTTGCCTCCTTAAAAGCATCCCTCAGCTCCTTTACTCCAATCATGTCTGCTGTTTCAGCCAAAAGCTTGGGCCCCATAAGCTCAACAAAGTCCTCAAAGTCAACATGTCCTCCAACTGTTAGAAAAAAAAGAGTAAGAAACAGATCAAATGGAAAATAATTTACAAAGTTGTGATGTAAAAAAGATATATATAAAAAAAAACATAATTAGGAAATAAAATGAAAACCAAAAAAGTTACGGTTCATGTTGATCTGTTGGCTCAGCTCTATGAGCTCCATCTCTGTTGGCATGTATCCCATCGTCCTCATGCAGTTTCCCAGGTCTTTGCAGCCAATAAATCCATCTTTGTCTTTGTCAAACTCCTTGAATGCTTCACGCAACTCTATAAGAGTTACACAAGTTACATGAAAACATTTTTTTTTTAAACTGCTAATTTAGATTTTTTTATGTCTCTTCTGCTAATACTGATAAAAATGTGTAAAAAGATGTTTAGATAATAATTGCACTGGCATTATTGCACATTTTGTTTTCCTGTTGTTTTTATAGAAAACAAACCTGGATCCTTGTCCAGCTTGTTTGTCATTTTCTCCCAACTGTTTATGTTAAGAAGTTAAAGGCACACAGTCTCACACCTTCTTCTTTTGAGTAGCATGTTTTCATATCTCTCCCATTTTTTCACAGTGTCTAACAGATTTAGGGCTTTGTTTAACATTGGTGTAGCGTAAACCTAAAATGTCAGAGTTTCATTTATTATACTTTTCCTTGGTGTTAGAATAAAATACTAAAATAAACATTTGCAGTGTAGGATTTTATAACTGCAGTAATAGATGAATATTTTAAGGCTTTATTTTAGAGCTCTACTTTAACAAGGCAGCCAATAAATGTGATGGGTGCTGTCGTTAACCTACCATCCAGCTCTTCTGGTCTCAGCTCTCGGTCCTGCAAAGGAAACAAATGCAAGGTTATAACCCGAACTGCAGCTGACATATGTTAAAACTCATGCCAGCAGGCATTATTCCTCACAACATGCTGCTGTAGAAAACAAAAATAAGCACTTTTGGGTTGCATGCCAGCGGTTTACAGTTTTGAATCCGTTCAGAGAGGAGGAGCTCATTCATGAGAACACAAAGAGATTAAAACATGTTGAGAGTAGCTGCAGTTGAGTAATATTTGGTATATTTGAACGAGTATTAGACAAACTTTAGAAATGTTCGATTATTAATGTGAGTTCTTCAAGGGAGGAATTGAATACTCTGTTTCCACTTAGTTGTCAGTGTATTAGGAAAAATAGGTTCTGTTTTACAACTATTTTACGGTGGCTGTCTTAAGTTGATCCTTGAGCTAAAATACTGTTTTTTTTACATAAAAAAACAACTGAACTGAAAACTGAATATGTCAATAATGACTTTAAAAGGTGCAGTAACCTGTGTCCTGCCACGGTCTGCAGTGGTTGAGAGTTTTATTTTCTCTCATGATATTTTTGACAATGATCTTTTATTGTGTCCTTTGGTTTTATATTTTCCCTGTGTCCACCAAACGTAGATGCTTTTTTATTGCCATGTTTTTACCTTTAGTGGATATGATGATCACTTTCTAAGATTTCTTTCCTGCATTTCTGTCAGCTTCTATCAAATGAAGCCCAGGCAAAATTTTAAACAGTATACCCTGCTGTTGTAAGACTATCAGCCTCACACCACTCCTCCGCCATGGCCGATTATCATCCACAACATTATTGTAAAGCCTCCTCTGCCATGTTAATGTCTGCTTGAAACCAAGATGCAACCCTCTTCCACCGTATCTGCGCCATGATCCTCATTTTCTTCTGGCTCCCCTCCTCCATTGTCCTCCATTCCACCACCAGTGTCAGGCGCCAGGTTGGAGACACCCAATCATAACATGATGACTCTCTATTCTCACATCTTCCACATGGGGCCTGAGTCTCAGTGTCCATATTTCTCATGTCAATAAAACTCCATAATTGTTCTTGTCTTCTGTATGAGTCTTACCAGGTTGAGTTACTTCCTCTGTTCCTCAGCTCCATGTCATAATTATCCTGTTTTACCATTCTCATCTGATTTCTTTAATTTGCTCTCTATATTGTCCCCTTTCCTCTGTTATCTCACCTTCTCCATGCCTAATTCCCACCAAAGAATAGCTTATTTGGGTTTTCATCTGTTTTTTTCTCTGGTAAGATTTTGTAAAACATTAATTTTCCTCCCATGCATTCTTAATCTTATGGTTTGCTACCATCATATATTTAGTTTGGTGATGCTACATGTCATCTCTGACCTGACCATTAACCATTCATTCGTTTCAGGTGTGTTGAAGAAGGAATGCATGCAAAAGCTGCAGGACAGTGGCAGTCGAGTACCGACGATGCCTACCTCTGGTCTATGGTGATGTTAGAAATGTACCCCTACCACTGACCCTGTTCCCAATATTAACCTCAAGAATCCCACATGATTTGACCACATGAAAACCCCACAGAAACAACACTGTATAGTTTTCAGCAACCAAGAACACTCCTTCAATCTAACAAGATTGTGAAGAAAATCCTACAAGCACCATCCTCTTGCAGTGTGTCCCACAGGTCAATGACTCCCTGGAATCAGCTGGTTTTCCTTGATGGAAAACGTTAACCAATCGGACTGATCTATTTGACTTGTTTCTCTAAAGGGCCTTAAGATGACATGTTGCAAACTGACGCTATAGAAAGAAACTTAAAGAAAGAAATAAACTCAGAGCAACACCACATTTTTCAAATGCTTGTTTTAAAGTGTATTGTTTTTTACTGACAGTTTTTGTGCATAAGCTACATTTTGTGCTAATCTCCCTTGCAATGCATGCACTTTATATGTCCTGGACTTACGTACAGCCAGCCGCCTCTCAGCGAAGCCCTTGCGTAGAAAGATGCATGCAGGCCCCAGCACGTTGTGCATGTTTGCTCCGTTCTGGGCCAGGGCTACTAGCGGCTCAAGATGGCCCCCCCCAGATCCCCCTTCCTCACTGGACTGCACTGCTTTGTAGTTCTTCTTCTTGTCCTTCAGCAGCATCCAGGGTGAGGGGCCAGAAATGGGAGCAGAGGCAAAGACAGGGGTACTGAGACTCAGTTTGTTGAGGTGTGCAGTCAACAAGGAGTCGGGTGGAGGTAGGGTGGGGTTAGGGGTTCATAGGGAGTGCAGGGGAGTGACTGTGGACTGACTTATGCCTGGCAGTCATAGCAGGGTGTGAGGGTTAGTTATGATGGATAAAAGAGCTCACTTGGACAAAACAGGGTGTAATATATCATGACAAAGCAACTGATGCCATATAAGAATCTGACATGCATTTCACCATCATGCCCAGCAGAACTGATGGATATCTTCATATCTTGTATAGTAATAAACATTTTATGTTAAAAAAAAAAACTTATTTCATCTCCCTAAAAAATTTAAATAATTAAAATGTTCTTTAAAAAAACACGTTTTAAAAGTTAGTTATTGATGCTCTATTGTATAAACTCAGAATAAGGTATTCCTTATGTGTAAACTTTTGCAAAGATACTCCAGTTGCTGCAAAACTCACATTAATGTGTTCTATTTTGCAAACAAGTTTCAGTTTGATTCCTTAGACTTACTTTGTAAACAAATCATGCTGTCCTAAAAGATAAGCCAAACGTTTAGCTAGCCATGGAATTATAATTACCAATTAGCCAATCAAGCAGCAGGTAAATGTTGTTCTCACAGCGGCGGACCAAATTAATGAGAGAATTTAAAACAATCACTGCCTGCCAGATTGGAAGACTCGAGTGGATCAAATCAAACAAGCCCCCACCATCACTTAGTAGTTCAAACATTTTACATATATGTTTTTTTTTTAATCAAATTTAGGTAATAAAATGCTGAGTTCTGCTAACTAAAAAAGGATTATCAAATAACTTCAAAAGCAACTGACTGAACTCCCAGAGAATAACAAAGCACCGATTTAACTACTGCTTCAACCCTCTCTGACATGAGTTAGTATAATCTTTGCACACAAACAAAGGCAGTAGGAATATTCCTTTGCATATACATGCTTTACTTTATGATATTCTACAAACAACCTTCAAAATCCATGTGTCATCGTGCCACTCTCAATGCCAATTTGTGCATTTCTACAGTTCTCGCCACAGGAGTGGATGCCCACTGGGTAATCTGAGCAAGCGATGCATGGAACAGGGCTGTCCAAGGCCACATCCTGCCAGAAAAGTATTATGAATCCTTGTGCTAGTTATATAATCTGAAAAAAGAACACATAAGCACACATTTGATCATCAAACCATGGTTCGAACAGATGGCATCAACAGTTGCTTGTCATATTAAGACTCCTCAAGGATGTTCATCTGCAAAAGCAACTATTGTAATTATGAGAGCTCAAGCAAGCATACGGCTGAAACAATATGAAGAGAACATTAGGAGATGAATTTGTCAAGTTTTATCATTTCAGAAATGCCATATAATTCATATCAGGTTGTACTTTGCATCTGATTGACTCTAATGATAGCAAAATTGCTCACACATTGACTAATCGATTAGGCTCATGATAACATGAGCCTAATCATATCAAGGACAAATCTTTGTTCATCCTGTATAACACAAGAACCACAGCTAGAGTCTTCGGAAAACGACTCCGTAGGTCAGATTTTTTTTAACAATTCTGTCAACTATCATAACTAAAAACTATTAAATCAATTCTACCTTTAATAATTCCCCATTTAGATTTGACTCAAGACCAACAGCTCAGGACTGAGATCTCAAAATGAACAGAGGGATCAGTCAGGAGAGATTCAGTCAAGTATTACAGCCACTGGTCCGGTTGGTGACACACCATTACACAAACATGCACTGAGAGTCAGGGGAGTCAGGGGAGTCAGGGGAGACGACCACAGGGTGAAAAACCTCAGAACAAAGCTTACCTTTTTGGCGAAATTTTTTAAAGACTTTACAGAGTTTCCCATTGCAAAAAAAATATAAAAAGGCAACAAATCTCCCTTTTCTCTATGTTTTCCTTTTAACTGTGCAACTGTGCTTGTTTTTGAGGGCACATATCTGCATGCACAATTGAATGGGTGTCAAGGCAAGCATTGGAAGAGAAGGAAAAAAGGAAAAAGGGTTCAGTGGGTTACTGAATAACATAAAGATAACATAACATAAGAAGGGAAGGACAAAGGAGGACCTGCTGGATGGTACAGGGAGAGGGGCGATGAAACAAAATAAAGGACAGCTCAGGAAAACAAAGAGTACTAGGGAGAGGAAGCATGCATGGGATCTGTGCAAGATGCATGTGCCTGAAGTGGAAAAGCAGGATTGCTTATTCATTCCATCCTCTCTTCTACAGTGTCTTCCCTCCCTCCCCTCTACCCTCGCTGTGTGTCCGTCAGCCTTGCTCTTTTCTCGCACACCCCACTCCACCCAAAGCTCCCGCTAGCTCCGCACTTTTAAACCATCTTTATATGAATGTGTCCCAAGAACTTATTTTGGTCAAGCATATTACCTTCCTCTGACCGAGAGGCTGAAGACACTAATCCAAACATAAACACACATATCTATACACCCCTTCCACACACATACACTTGATTAAACACAGTCGGATGTTGGGCCATGAAGCTAAAAATAAAACTCTCCCTCTCTCTCTCTGTCTCTCTTCTCCACCCCTTTCCTGACTCTACCCCCAGCATCCATCCCCAACTACAGGGAGGCAACACAAAGTCATGGTAAGCTTTAAGGGCTTGGATTCAGATCAAAGCCAAAATGGTAAAGAAATTACACACGGATGCCGAATTACCCTGATGGAGAGAGAAGCAGAGCAGCACGTGCAAACGCAAACACACACAGACAGGAAACAAAATTCTTGCCGGCAGTTTTTCTTTCTCACTCGCACCAACATCCATTTGACACTGAGGATAAAGGCTGAATATATAGAGCATCTCTGAAAGCCAGCACTTTTGAGGGAATCATACACATAAAGAGATAACCTGTAATCAAATGCCAGTTTGATTAGAAGACTAAATGACACATTTGATGAAACTAACAAAATGTAATTGTTTGACTTTTTTTTTTATTTCCAAACATGTCTTTTAAAATTTCTAGTAACATTTTAGGGTTGTTTTAATGAAACTCTTTTATGTCTTTTGAAGATTTGCTTTAGACTTTGGCTATTGTTTCACTCATTTTCATCCCTGTTGCTCCGTGATTATTCACAGCATCATGTGCAACATGTACAATCTTTACAGCAGACATCTAAACCTATTTATTAGTAATCAAATTGTAGAAACTTCAGGAGAATAAAGCCAGCTGGTAATCACAGATTTATTGTATGCCGGACTGCGTAATTATAACCAACCTGACTCTGTTAAGTCATGTGACTTCAGACTTTTCAGTGGACAACATATCTACAGTAACTCCATGCCATTTTATCCATTCCTTTCTTTAATGCATATATATATATTTTTTTTTGCACTACCTATTGTATTTGTAGCAAATAATGTATTTGCAGTGTGGTTGCAATTCTTGGTCTGAAATAGAAAAAAATAATAAATAAAGCGAGAACAGATTGTTTTTCAAATAGAGAATAATCTACCTCTCAGACACACTAGGATCCAGAAACTCCATTCTGCTCTATATTTTATCGTTTCACTGCGTTTCTTCCTCTGATCTGTGCAGATATTGTGTAATAATATGGGGCAATTTTTCTTCCTCAGATGCTTTATTGAAAAATATAGATTTCTGGGGGGAGCTTGGAACCTGTGCTGTGCTAAAAATAGTATAAGTACCGGCACCTGATTGTCCACAGTGACAAATCACAGACATTGTCTAGCTTTCTCTCAGTGTCATACTGTAGCATGATATCAGTTTTTCCCTATTTGTGTTCTATGGTAACTAGTGTTTCGAATTACTGATATAAAAAAAATAACCATCTTCATCAACTTGAAAGGTAATACAAGAAAAATATGGGAAAAATGTACTTAAAAGAAAAAATATTAGTTTTATATTATTCTCTTGGCTACAAGTTGTTTTTATGTAATTGTTTTTCATACTCCAAAAGTATGAGGAAATTTAAAGTTTTCTCCTAACATTTGAGTTAAAATTATAAATAGATGTTTCCTCTGACTAAACTTTTGAATTTACAGAAAATCAGTTTCAAACTTTACTTATTCTGCACACTTAAGGACTAACTTCCTCCTATGCTGTGAAAAAATCTACCACATACAGTGAAAGAAATCTCTTTCTTAAAAGCTGTCTCCCATGGCATCAACTCCCAAGGTAACACTAGCGTCAGTCACTGCGGTAGCCATATTCTGCTCTCCTGCTCGACCTTGTCTGTTCGCTCCTGTTCTAATAAACACATTCACGCTGGAGTCATTTCAGATCTAAGCTCCCATTCAGCGTCCTCTTTGTTGCTCCGCAGATGATTCATCCAGCCTCTCACCGGAGGCTCATTGTGAACTTCAGAACACATCAGACGTCAGATACAGGAGCCGTCAGCTCTTATAATGTCACACCACAGTGTGCACGGGCTTCATTTCCATCTCTCACTCTCTCTTTCTCTATCTCTTTCACTCGCTCGCTTGCATTCTTTTTCTTTTTTTCTTTTGTATTTTTTTTCCTCCTCCTAACTCACTCGGAAAATCATGATTACTATTTTACATAAGTGTTTGGGCACAGCATGGTAACAGCATCCAGAAATAAAGTAATTCTAGGATCTAAGTTTGAAACTGATTTTATAAACTTCATAATATGATGCAGGGTTGTTTTATTTGAGTAATACAACAAAATAGACCATAAAGGACATAAAGGAGGAAATATTGTTGAAGGTGCAGAAGATCAATCTACAAATACAATATCTTGCATAAGTTAAATCCCTTAAATGTTTTCAAATTTAGTTAAAACCAATTTCCCGTAAAGTCCATGTATATTCATCTCCTTTAAGTCACTTCTATGAAGAATTACAGTTTACTTCAGATTAAAGTTTGAGCCATGTATTTTCCAGCTTTCTACCTCTAGATAACATCTTTGCAAGATTG